TAAGATTAATTACTATTTTAAGAACATATGTATTAAGAATATTGGTTTTGAAGTCCTTAGTTCGTTATTTTTGTCTGTGTGTTTAAATTAAATCTACAAATAATCTGGTTTCATTCCTTTCTTTCGTTCTTGTAATTGTTTTATTTTTTGGACAATAGGAAACGTTTTTGAATTGTCTCGTTCGTTACGGGTTAGGTAGTTATTGACTTAAGAAATTTGTGTTCCTGGATAGATAAATGAGGGTTGGTCACTTGCCTCGGACTCAATTTTACTCGTGAGTGCCACAATAGTCAAATCCCTTCTCTAATTCTATTGTTGGATTAGTTTTTTCCAAATCGAATTTGATTATTGAAGCGTTTAAGGAATGCATTAGCAGGGGTCATAATCAACAATATGAACATTCCTTCTCTTTCTCTGTTTTTGGAAAATGTTTAAATTTATAATCTTGTTTTTAGGATCAATCAAATGCCTTATCTCCTAGTTTGCTGTGGCGTGGGTCCACTAATCTCTTATCTACTAAAAAAATGCAGGTAGCTAGAAAGCTCTTTTTCAAGTAGGTAGCTTGAAATCAGATTACTAATAGAGACTAACAAGGATGAAGATCCTAATATCCTTATTAGAGATATTAAGCTATTAAAAAATGAATTGTGAGAATTAACTCTTAGATTTGATATTATTGTCATTATGATGGACTAAAAAGTCATAAAACCCTTTTCTATTATAATAGTTATAATAGCAATAATATTAAATTAAGATTTAATTCTCAAAATTGATTCTTTAAATCTCATAATATCTCTAACGATTTTTATCATATACTTTTTTTGTTTTTGGATTTTGAATTGCACAATAAAAAATAATTTTTTCTTAAACTACTCGTATGTTATGTGACTTAAATTTAATATTTTTTATTTTTACTAAAAAATGATTATCATATAGCCTAGTCAGTACGTAGTTAGCATTATTAAGATAATGCGTTTAATTGTACCACAAAAAAAAAAAAGATAATGCGTTTAATTATATATCTAATTATAGATGAAAATGCAATTTTAAGGAAAATTGAAATAAACACACACTAAAATATTATTGAATAATGTTTTTTTTTTTATGAACAGGCTAACTAATTGAAATCCCTACAAGGAAGAAGGATGGAGAGAAGAAATAAGGATTTGAATTCTAACCATATAGGTGGGGAAATACTTTTTACTAATAATTTAACTAATTATTCTATAGGTCTTTCTCTATTATTTAATAATGTTAAAACTATTATATAAGAATTTTTTTATATAAACTTAGCCTATTAGTCAA